TTTACTTCAACCATTTGGAATTGCTTCCCTCAGCCCCTACTGCTTCTAAAATGCTATTTAGTTGGACATGGAGGCACAAGTCAAGCAGACTTTTTTTTTAATTAATTTACAGGATGAGGGCATCACTAGCTAGGCATTATTGCCCAGGGACCAGTTAAGAGTCGACTGCGTTGCTGCGGGCCTGGAGTCATTTTTAAGCCAGACCAGGTAAGGATGGCAGTTTGCTTCCTTGAAGGACACTAGTGAACCAGATTGGCCATTTCGATGATCGACAATGGATTCGTAGTCAACATTAGACACTTAATTCCAGATTTAAAAAAAAAAATTGAATTCAGATTCCACCATCTGCTGTATCGGGGTTTGAACCCGAGTCCTCGGAACGTTTCCTGGGTCTCGGGACTGTTCATCCAGTGATTAATACCACTCGACCATCATCGCGCTTTCTTTGTGTTTTGTTGTCATGGCCCTACCTATGCAAGTGGACCATGTTCTGTTACACACATGGGCTTGTATCTTGCGAAGAGATTCTGGAATTAGGACATGAACTAATCACTGCAGTAAATCAGCCTCTCACCTGATAGGCAATCAATGCGGTAAAGATTCTGTCTGATTATTAGAGTTTCTGATTATTCATTGCTGACAAAACATTCTTCAGAATGTTGCAAGAACCTCCTGTTCTTCACGTTGTGCTGAACCTAGTTCATGTCCAGCTAAAACATCACGGCTGAATAACAGAAATGTGACTTGATATGAACAGTTGTGTTGAGTTCAGCCTGTGTGTCAAGGGGTTTGCCTTGTTACCTTCTAAGGATTCCCTGTTCATTCCACTGCAGACCCTTGTTTTGAGATATTCTCGTCAATATTAGTCTGACCTTTCTCAGAGTGAATTTGCCCGCGTTATTGCTGTAGACATTCTGAGCCCTGGAATATGGCAGAGATTTGACTTCTTTTAACACAATTGATTAAAGAGTCCTAGTCATAGTCATAGTGCATGGAAACAGATTCTTCGGTCCAACTCATCTATGACACTATGATCATCAGAGCCAGAAATTTCATGACAAATCACTTCAATGCAAGAAAATGGTTGTGGATGTTTTCCATCCTGGCAAACCCTCAGTACTTAGCACAGAAATTATGAGAAAAAACTAGCAAAAATGTACAAAACGACATCAGATGTTGTGTTTTTGTTTTGGCTTCAGGACAAGTCCCACTCGCCTGTGTTTGGCCCATATCCCTTTAAACCTTTCCCCCTACTAAGGTACTTGTCTTTTAAATGTTGTAGCTGAACCTGCATCTACCATTTTCTCTGGTAGTTCATTCCACATACAAAACACCCTCCATGTGAGAAAGATAACGAGGTGTAGAGCTGGATGAACACAGCAGGCCAGGCAGCATCAGAGGAGCAGGAAAGCTGACGTTTTGGGTTTTCTCCTCCACAGATGCTGCCAGACCTGCTGAGCTTTTCCAGCAACTTTGTTTTTTGTTCCTGATTTACAGCATCCGCAGTTCTTTTGGTTTTTATTTATGTAATCGGAGCGCATGCTGTAAGCCCAGCATGCACGTGCTATGACAGGCAAACCAGTTTGCTGCCATTTGCTGACCAGGGCCACTGAACCATTTTTGTGCTTTTTTTTAAGATAGCAAAAGAAGAATTAGTTGACAGAGACCAGGTTTAAGGTCTAATCTGTATATCTGTTTGTCTGCTGGGTTAACCTTCCACCAGTCTTGTGTTGCAGCCTATCTTACTTCACAATGATTGGATGTCATTTTTTTTTTTTTTAAAAAGCCTTCCAATAATACTGAAGCTAGACCAACATCTGGCTACGAAAATGTAGCTGGCTTCTGCCCCATGGATATTCACCTGCTACGTTCTGGACTGGTCAAACATCCACTAGCTGCTGCTGAGCAGGTCACTATCCCTTTGGATGAGGGAGCCGACAGTCAAGCACTTGCCCCAGAGATAGCCTTTTGGCGTGGGACCTGCCATGTGAACTTGAGATGAAATGTGACAGGTTGACACAATTTTCTCGCCATTCAAAAGGTCTTAATGACACTTGGCAGATCTCTTGCTGAGCAGATTTGATTGACAGCTTTGTCTTTGGGAATGACAGTACACGTGTAGCATTTGGCCCTTTTGCACATTCAGCCATAGGCTTGGGGATCGTTCAGTAAACAAATCTGTTAAGGTGACTGCCTGCAGCAACCTGAACCAAAGTAGGTGAGGCTCTCTGCTATTTCCGAATGTTGTTGTGAATGTGATTTTCATTCTGAAGCAGAGAGAAGCCAAGTCTGCAGTCTTTGATAGTGGTACACAGTAATAAACTCTCAAATAATTTGAACAATTCTCTGGTGTTCACCTGAATACGTTTCATTTCTAAGTGAATAGAATTGAAATTGTAATCAACTTCAATGATTATGGGTTGTACAGAAGAAGCAATTCAGCCTATTGGATCAGTGATTCTCTCCATGTGGGCCAAATGCTGGCAAATGGGGCTAGGTCAGTTTCGGATACCTGGTTGGCATGGATGAGTTGGACTCAAGGGTCTGTTTCTGTGCTGTATAACTCAGACTCTACAAGTCGTCTTCTACCCTGCTTCATTAAACTCTACCAATGTATCCTCATTGCTTTCTCTCTGACTTTCTTTGACTGCTCTTTAAATGAATCTATGATATTCACCTCAATTAACCCTTCAAGTTGTGGGATACACATTCTTGGTAGTCTTATTGGTAAGGAGGTTTCTCTTGAATTCTCTACTGAAATAATTTGTGACTGTTTGTTTGATATTTATGGTACATGTTCTGATCTTTCCTGCAGATGAAAACACTTTCTCTGTGTCTACCCCTCAGCCCCTTTTTCAGTATGTTTAAACACCAATGCAATTAGTCCTTCATCTTTTCAACAGATAAGTGACCCCCTCCCTTTGACAATGGATTGTGGAGGTTTAAGTGAAAATTCTTCATTTCCTCAGGCTTTTCCGTTTGGGGGTCTTTCTTCATCCTGGAAATTTCTTGTTTTTCTAATATATCTCTGTTTCCTCTCCTACTGTAGTATTTGGAGTTTTATGCCTTTTGTATTGTATAGAATCACCAAATTGCTATAGTGCAGAGGGGATGCCACTTGTCCCATTGATGTGGGTGCCTTTTCTTGCGCAAACATAATTTATGCAGAACCACTTTGCCATCTTTCCCTTGTATCCCTGTAATTCTTCCTCTTTAAGGCATTTTTTAAAGTCTTTTCTTGATCAGTTCTGGTCGTCAGTTAAATCTATTTTGCGCATGTCTGACACCTCTGTATTTCTAACATGAAAATCAGAGCCGTCATGTTTACCGTTCACTATCAGACCCGTGATGTTTACAAGCTCAACAGTTTCTTGGCTTATGATTTCATCCTTCTAGCATTTATATATAGCATTATCAGTCTGTTGCTGTTTACTCTCAGGTTGCTCTGTACCTCATTTGATTATTAATTTCCAAGGCCTTCAGTTTAATTGACCTATAATTAACAATGAAACCTGAATTTATAAAGAACCTTCCAAGACTTGAACACCCAAAAAGCTCCACTCAGCCAGTTAAGAACCTCGAATAAAGCCATTGTCATATTCTAGAGAAACATGGTAACCATTTGCAGATATCATTGACCAACAATCATCAGAGAGATTAATTGACCAGATAATCTGTCTTAGTGATTTTTTGAGGGATAAGTATTTCCCACGATACAAACAGTTAATCCATTGCTGTTGTTCATACAATGTCATGGGATTTTCGATGTCTACCTCCTGAGCGCCGACGGAATCATGACTTAACATGAAAAATTAGTAACTGCACCTGCGCTGGTGCAACCATCCATCAATACAGCAGTGAGAGGTCAGCTAACATTGCCCACTTCACTGTCTGGAGTTGTGCTTAATTGCAGAGACCCACTGCTAGTCTCTGCTTTGATTTTGCTGTGAGTAATGGAAAATTGATGCCTTTGTTTATTTCTCCAATTACTACAAATTGTACTTTTAGCAATTTGATTCCACACGGTTTGCATTCATTTTGTCAGATAACCTCAAAGTAGCTTTAGAGTGAGCAAATTAGCTGTATTTATTCAGTCAGCAAAGGAACATATTGGAATGATAATGTTGCTATGTGATTCCTCTGGAAGGGACCATATGGTTCCTGTGTGAAACCCTGGATGGTAAGTGTTGGGGAGGAGGATGTATCACAGCCGTGTCTGATTCTACTCTGCTTGTATCTACATGTGTGAAACCCTGTTAAATGCTCCCTCTGTCCCAGCTTCTCGAAGCATCAGTCTGTGTCACCTTCAGTGTTGCCCTGAATGAGGTAAGTTCACTTTGCACAGACTGTTGATCACAGCATGTCGCAGTGGGCAGCGTGCTGACAACAGAGAATCCAGGAGTAACACAGCTCTAACTTGACACTATTAGTTACTTGACGTCCTCTGATTAGGCATATTGCACAATCGTACTGGCAAATGCGATTATTCTAGCTGGTTGCATGCCCAGAGCTGTTTGCTCAACCTCTCGAACTTTGGATGGAATAAAGGTGAAATCCCTTGAAGGCAACGCATGTGTTGTTTGAAGTGAAAAAGCCTCTGTTTCTGAAAGAGCTGTGGATGCTGGGAATTAGAAACCTCTATTTCCTCTGGCTTTTCAGTTTAGATTGATCTTTTACTTTGGAAATTTTATGTTTTTGTTTAACATCCTCATTTTATAGTGAGTTACTGTTGTGAATCCTGTCTTTATTTACTGCAAGATTTAGTGATATTCCAATCAAAAACATGAGTGACAACTCCTCTCAACTAAATTAAAACAAAGTGCTGAGGCAACTGAGCAGGTCTTACAGTATCTGTAAAGAGAGAAAGAGTTAATGTTTTGAGTCCAGTCTGTATTCTTCGCAATTGAGTTTCCTTTGGAGCCTGCTGACTTTCTCCACTTTATAGTTGTTTCAGATCTGTAGTATTTCACTTTTTAATTTCTAATGTGTTTTTCTTGCAGGATTTGTGCAGTTTTCTCATTTATCTGGATTAATTATGATCACTCCTGCCTTTGAATTAAGTCAAGATCCTAATTTCCTCACTATCATAATTCATGTCCCGTATGCAAAGGTTAATGAAGTTGACCTGTATATCGATGGAGTGGACTTCAAATTTTATGCCAAACCATATTTCTTAAGGCAAGTATGACAGCAAATGGATTTGGAGTGCATAGTTTTGAGTCCTGATTGTCATGCCAAATTTCATTTGTGCTATAATTTGCAAACTTATTTATCACTCTGATAATGTGTTTTTTTTTAAACAGTTTAAAGCATTTGTATAAGGTGTACACAATGGTGTAGCCTTTATAACTTTGAGCATCTGTTCTTCCTTTGTGAAAACAGATTGACTCTTCCAGGAAAGATAGTGGAGGATGGCAGAGAGACAGCTTCGTACGATGCTGATGCAGGTAGAGGCGTTAAATATATCACTTGTGTTAGCTTTGTTTTTGGCTGTAAAGCTGCAAAATGTGACTATAGAATGATGAATGGTTACACTAACGCTGTTTAAAGTAACTGTAATAATCAGCCCAGAGCATATGTTTTTGTGCAGTAGCATTATCTTTCTCACTGAATGTGTCCGTGACTTAACTGACAGAGGGTGTGTTAACAGTGACGTTTGTACATACTTACTGTACTTACACTAGAGTTTTTCCGAATCATTATGCATATTACTCACTTGTATGCACTATTTCTCCCCCCACCCGGGGTGAACAGTGGTTATTTTGGCAAAGACTTGGTTTCCTCCTTTCATTATCCCTTTTTGACATGTCATATAAAGCTTCAAACCTCCTTGTTAGGTTTTTTGGGAAGGAATTCATTCAGAATGAGCCAGTAGTGCCATGTTTTAAGTTTTTAAAAGAAGAAATCCCTGCAGTTTAAAGGCGCTATGTTGCTGTTAGCACTGGGTTTGAGCTATACAGCAGCTATATCTGCGTTGGAGCTCAACCCCCAAAGTCTTGGCTGCTGATCCCACTGTGGATGTCAGCACACTGATGAGAAAACTTTGATGTTATCGGTAGATATTAAGCGCTTTGTGCTGATCTTGTTCACATTCTCTCGTCAACAGATCAGACAGAAATGACTCTGTCCTGTGTGCAGTTAGTTGGCCAGTTTTCCCGGCACAGGCTGTCCCCTGAGTCCTGATTAATTTCCTATAGCTGGTGTCAAAGTGCAGGAGCATCTGTGACGTGCTGCTGGTTAATGTTAGGAGTGCTCAATTCATTCATAATGAAAACCAAAAGAACTGCAGATGCTGGAAATCAGGAACAAAAACAGAAGTTGCTGGTTCTGAGAACTGCATTTTTTTGAGGAAGGGGTCACCGGACCTGAAACTTTAACTCAGATTTTTTTTTTTTTTCTTTACAGATGCTGCCCGACCTGCTGAGTTTTTCCAGCAACTTCTGTTTTTGTTCATTGATAATGACTTCGATAAAGATGATGTGAATGGTTGAAGTACTGTACCTAACCATTAGCCTCGAGTGCTGACTTCTGCAATTTTATCTACTCTTCTGAACTATGGTCTTTGGACATCTTGAATGAGATTTACAAATCCGTGCATTTCTTTGCTGCACAGTGAATTTGACTTGGCCTCTCTTTTTCGAGCTTTCTCTTTTTCCCCATACGCACTGTTGTTCTCTCTGGCTCTGTCTGTCTTTCCTTCCTCTGCCGGTCTCTTGTGCTATGAAGTGTACTCTGACCTCTGCTGTTGCTAATTCACAGCACCAACTAATTTGGCACTAATTACCACTGACTCAGTGATCTCATGGAAGTCCCAGAAATGGATCTCTGTCCCCCTGTTCAACTAGATTTTAGCCACCTTGCGTGATGCATTCTTTACATCCTGTTCTTTCTCAGCACCTTTTATTTATGCAATGTCTTTCCATCCTAACAGAAGTTAATGTGTGATGACGTTCGTGAGAGTTCATATGTTTTGTTGTCTGATGTGGAATATGTCTTTTCTTTAAACCCTGCACATATCCTATTTCCATAAATACTACCTGCCAACTGGTGTGTGCATTCACCGGCTGTATTTGGCATGATGGTCAGTCACGTTGCTGTAGTGGCAACATGTTGGAATGATTCTGCCAAATATCTGGAATTGAGTCAGGCTAGTTGCAAACTTGGTATTGTAGTTGATCTTCTGCTCACACATCCACTCCATCACCAAAGTAGCGTCCCTCCTTCTCTGTAACATTGTGTGATTCTGACCCTGCCTCAGTTCACTGCAGTTGAGGCCCTCATCCACATCTTTATTACTTTCAGACTTGACTATTGCAATGCGTTCCTTAATTGTTCCCCGCTTTCCATAACCTTGTGCTCCTGCAAGACTCTGTGCAGCCTGTCACCCCTGTACTTCTGATGTACACTATCTACTGAATGAGCAACATTTCCATTTTAAAGTTGCCATTATGAGTATCAAGTATGTTCGTACCCTTTCCTCTTACACTGTTTGTAACCTCTTCTTGCTATTGAAATTTTTGATCTCCATGTGTCTCCAATTCTGTCACCTTGTGCATCCCCACTTTTTAATCATGGTGATTTGACGTGTTCAGCTACTTTGACTGTAAGGTTTGAAATTCTTTCCTTTAAATCCCTGTGCCTCCCTCTACATCCCTGGCTTCTTTGAAGATTGTTCTTTTAAGCCTACCTCTTTAATCAAGATTGTGATCATTTTAGCAATGGCTTGGTGTCAAGTATACTGATAATACTCCTGTTTAAGTCTTAGGACATTTTGCTGTGTTTAAGACAAATGCAAGGTTTTGTTGCTGTTTGGTATGTTAAATGGTGATCTATTTTCTCTGTCCTTACTGACCTTGTTGTCCTGTCTGAATTGTCTGTGTGTTACTCAATCTTGTTATCAATCCATTTAACTCCTTCAGAGCTGGGTTTAGCTCAATATCAGCAGTATTAACATGCACAGGTATTTCTGCCATAGATTGTGTTTCATTCACGCAAATTAGCTGTGATGCGATTGATGAATAGTAGATGTTGTTTGGATAGCGTGAACTTTCTACTGTACAGTGTGGCCACTTTTTTTTTCTGCACCAATTTCCCTACAACGCAATTTTTTTACAGTGCGAAGTTGCATTCTTGTGTGACCATCATGTTAAAGGTTGCATTAGATCAAAATACTGGTGAAGATATCGGTTATATCTTACACCTACTGAATAATTTAATAATTGTCTAGACTTGAAGAAAACATTATGGTATACCACTATTTAGTGGTATTTAAGGAGTTAGCAACTTTGTTATAGTTTAAATAGAGTTGCTGTTTTTAGTAATGACCACAACAGACATGATTGTATTTAGTTTTTAATTTTGATTTTAGAAGCAAAGATCAAATCTAATTATAAATTCGCCAAAGTGAGAAAATAGTCCAAGTATTGATCTAGGTTTAGAAGCACCATAGAATTGGTGAAGAAAGTTCCCATTCCTTGCGTTTCACATGTTTAATGTTTTACGAGATAGTCGTGGAATGACACCGCAGACATACTCGAACGTTGTTCTTGGAATTTAAGATGACTTGAATTGTGACATTGTTAGTGTTTCTTGCAATTTTTTTTGAGGGTCACAGCTACACTGCATTTTTTTACCAGGCGCACCCATTTCTCGAACGAATTGTCTTTTTATTCTCGCTGCTTGCGCTTCTCAATTAATATTGAAACAATCATTTTGCTTTAGACATGCACAATATTTTCACTGCTTCTGTAATCAAACTGGCAGATACCTTGCAGTATATTTTTTAGTACTGGAGACCCGAAATCCTGATCAAAAGAAGAAATGACTTAATGTAAAAGACAGAGAGGCAATGATGGGAAACTGAATACTTTCTCTACCGTAATGAGAGAGAAATTTTGATGTGTTGCTTGATGCCAAAAAACTTGTGCTCCTTAAGTTAGGTTCTGTGTGTTTCTGTTAATAGGAATTTTTACAATAAAGGTTCCGAAAGAGACCCCTGAAGAATACTTTGAGGGGTTGGATATGCTGACTGCGCTTCTGGCACCAAAAGGTTCAAAATCTGCAAAGCCACTACTGGAAGAGATAGGTGTGTTTTTGCTGTCTGACGTGAACCTTCACTTCCCTGTCACCCTCCCCATTTGCTTCTTCAAATATAGTGTTCTAAAAGCTATTTGATTAGCTTAGTGACCAAATGCACTAATATTGTTTGAAGGTGCTGGGTAATTATTAAAATATCCTTTCACCAGCCTCAGAAGGTTTATTGCTAAGGGATGTGATTGGGAGGTTGGCAATAGGTCAGAACATTAATTGATTCTCTTGACATGTATGTTAGTCATTATATGACATCTGTGAGTTAATTGATCTCCTTTGGGGTCCACTGGGGTGATGTGTCTAAGCAGAGCCATAGATGATAATTTGTGTTTTTTCCCTTTAAGAAGCTAATGACATTAATTTGAATTTGAGATGATTGATTTATATCTAAAATTGGTAACTGAAATCAGAAATTAAATCAGGTAGCACTTTGTTTTCTCTTTAAATAACAAAAGACTATGGGCACTGGGACAACAGACTTTTATTTTTAAAAAGGTGCTTCCTGATATAATTCTCATGTGACCTTGCTCCGCTAGTAGATTATGGCCCAGAAATGCCGATGACCAGTGAGTTGTTTCTGCAGCCTGGATTGGAATGTACATCAGGACCACATGGAAGTCCCATGCAGTAAGGCGTTGTTGGGAAGTTGAAGTTTCCTTAGAGTAATTACCCGCCATCTGGAGCCTTCAGGAAAAGTCCCGAAATCTGAGCCTGAGTCAGAGATTTCGGAGGGTCCAGACTCACTTGATCTTAAATAGTTATTTAAGAAATATTAGAGGCCAACTCTAACTCACTGGTAAAATTTAGACAGGACCCTCAACTCTGACCCAACTGTTCACCCTCCTGTAAGCAGCCATTCACTTAGCTAGCTCTCACCCTCCCTCCATACTTGGCTGAAACGCTTAGCTTTTCTCAGTAGCTGTCGAAGGGGCTGCAGAGCATTCGCAGTAAGGAAAAGGTCACGTTTAACTTATTTCCAAAAACGGGAACATGGTTCCCTGCTGTTGGTGACCATTCCTGGACATGTCTCCACTGCTTCATAACAGGATGCTGCCATCTGAGAAACTTGAAAGTAGAACTTATTACCCAAAGGTAAGTTGTTTTTTTTTGTGTGAAATCGGGTGCAGAAATAGGGCCTCCAGTCCTGATCAGAAAATCTTGGCCACTGTTCTTGTTCTGCATTCACCAACAGAGAAAATGGTTGCTTTGTATCCTTCTCAAATGCCTTCAGCATTTTAACTGCTTCGATTCAATCACCCTGTGGCCCTCTAAACCCAAGGTAATCCGAGCCAACTTTATACAACCTGTCCTCCTAAGTGCCACTTTAAATCCAGGTATCTGGTCAATCTGTGCTCAACCCTCTCCAAGATCCGTTTACCTTGTCTGAGGTTTGATGCTCAAAATGTGATAATTATCAAAATGGATCTGGAGTGAATGTTTGAATTTGTAAGTTACTTAGTCTCAATAAGATTGTAAATGGACAATATATTTGATGCCAGACCACTTGCTAACCTATTGGGCAAGTTGTCATACACTGTCTTTGAAAATTGCAGTTGTTGAGCTGAGCTCCTAAGATTGTTTTCCAATTCTGTAGAAGCTTTTTAGAACAAGAGTAGATGAAATACCACTGCAATTTTGTTGCAGGACACTCTGTTAACACTGAAGAGGAGGAAGATCTGCAAGATTTTGACTGGGAAATTGAACAAACTCCCTATGAGGAATTGGAAGGAAATATTATAAACCCGACCTGTTTCTATGGCTTTGGAAACCTGAGAACTGGAGTCTTCAGGAGACTGCAGGCAAGTTTTTTTTTGATAAGCATGTAACGCTCTTGCTAATCTAACTGGTTGTGTTCACTGGCACCAGTTTGTGTGCTGCTGCTGTTACAAGCTAGAGCTTTAGTCTGAGAAGACTGAGATTCGGGGGAAATTGTGTCAAATGTATGAAGTAGATGTTTTAATGGATCAGTTCCAATTGATCTGTACAATCCTTCAGCATCCAGACAGAATTATTATGATCAGTTCTTATAAGAGAAGCGAGTTATGATGTCTATAATGATTTGATTATGTGCATTGGCACACAAACTAGTAGATTTCAAACATTAATATTCATAATTATCTAATTGAGTTACAATGTATTTAAAAAATGTGCAAAATTTGAATGATGCAGTCTTAAGGTGGACCATCAGTCACTCAAAATATTGACTTGTGCGCTGCACAAGATTTCTTTCATTTAATTTTAATGATTTGATAAGTTTTGGAATAATATTAATTTTGAGTATTTGAGGTGGTTGAGATAACCTCAATGTGTGTGAAAAATGGCAGTGTGGCAACTGCATTCTTGAAACTTTGGTCGTGAATGAAATGTAAAAAAAAAAGTTATTCATCTGGCAGTCGTTGAGCATCAGGCTGTGGGAAGATTTTTTTTGTCAATGGTAATGATACTTTTCAATGAAATACTTGAGCTCGAAGCCAACTAATACCCTCCATCTCCTCTCATTGATGGTTAAGTGTTGATGCAAATAACTTGTACCTGTGAAGCAGAGTAAGTGGGGAGCAGAGGGCAGTGAACAGAGAAAGAAGCCCAGAGGGAATGAGATGCAGGAGGAAGAGACAAAGGTCAAGAAACAGCCATTTAAAGATGGAGTGAAATTGTTTTTAACTGTGGAAAAGTAAGCAAGTTATATTATCACTGGCTGTCTTAACCAATAACAATACCACGTTGACTTTATTGTTGTCACGTGCTGAGATAGTGAAAAGTGTTGTTTTTGCGTGCTATACAGGCAGGTTGTACCATACAAAGTGCAGAATAAGTGTTACAACCACAGAAGGTGCAGAGAGAGAGATCAGAATTAACATGTTGAGAAGTCTGTTCAAAAGTCTGATAACAGAACAGCTTTCTCCTTGCTTCGATCTTTTCGTACATGTTTTCAAACTTTTATATCTTCTGCCCAATAGAAGAGGGTGGAAGAGAGTATACCTGGGTGGGAGGGGTCTTTGATTATGTTGGCTGCTTTCCCAAGGCGGTGGGAAGTATAGATGGAGTCAGCGGATTGTATGATGGACTGGGTTGTGTTCACGAGTCTCTTGTTACTTGGGGTTTTGAGATGAGTAGTTGCATCTGGATAGGTTGGAGTCCCCAGCCATGCACTCAGATCCTGTGCAGGCCAGCTGTTGGGAATATTCACAGACATCTTTAACCTCTCTTAACTACTAATTAGTTGGTTGGGTGTATTTGAAATGGTCAGAATGCAGATGTTCCATTCTGGAATTTGCATATTTCTGTTTCAAAAGAAAATCAAACCTTGGGACAGTCAAAATAGCTGGTGATATTTTTCCATTTTAGATGTGTTACAACAACTTGCATTCCTTTAAAAGCCATCTTTTTCTCTCCTCTGTCTTGTATGCAACCCCCACCTTTCATTTGCACTCTCGGATTTTAAAAAAAAGCGCACAAATCCCGAAAATGGTATGTGTTTGAGATGTTTATGTATTTGTGAATGAGACACACACTGAATCGTATCGATGTATGTGATAGACTTTGTAGTGCCAACATCCACCATGTGGGGGAGCCAGCGCGCACAGCTTTATGTGAACAGACGGTGGTTTATTTCAGATGACAAGATGTAGAGCTGGATGAACACAGCAGGCCAAGCAACATCATAGAAGCAGGAAGGCTGATGTTTCGGGCCTAGACCCTGAGCGTAAGCAGTGGGGGCTAGTAGCAGTCAGACACTGGGCTCCAATTAGGGGTCACGTTGGAGGGTGTGGCCACAGGAGAGATCACATGGGATTTAGGTTTTGAGGACGTTTTTGAAGGTCAGAGTAAAATGTCAACAATTAATCTGACACGACCATTGCAGAGCCCACAACTGTGGCTGTGCCATTGATCCACAGTTACTGGGTCCAGAGTCACCCAGATTGGGACATAGGATTGAGCAGTGATTGTACAATTAGGGTGGAGCCAGACCATGGTAGGAGTTTTTTTTAATGCACGACAGAGAAATTGAGTGTTTGCTGGGGAATGAGGAGTTGGTGGAGATAGTTGATATGTATTTTGGCTGAGGATGGATTTAGTTTGGAATAGGAGGCTAGTAACAGAGCTGTGGAGAAGTCTGTTTGTGCATGATGGTGTGCAGGAAACTGAGGATGAGAGGTCATTTGAGAGGACTAACGTTTAATCCTGGAGAGGGACTGGGATTAGAAACCTAGCTCAGGGCCAAGCAAGATGCTTGGAAGTATGTAGCTTTGGATTTAGTCTGAGTCTGAATCCCAGGAAAGGGTTCCAGATGGAGGTAAATTAAAGAGTTATTAATGAGAACCAACCAACACAAACTGGTTCTCAGCTGTTTAACGGCGGTGTTGGAGACCAGAGGAGCTGCAAAGACGTGAGCATGGTGACATAGCAATGGTCAAGCAAGCCATTCTCAAAGAACGAATGAAACTGGCAATTAGGCAGTGACAGCAAACTCAGCTGTCAATCCTGCAAAACACTCCTTCCCAGTATGTGGGGACTAGTGCCAAAATCTGAGTTGTCTTACAGACTAGTCGGTAGCCTGTTACAGTCGTGCTCGCTGAATCATATCTTGCACGCAGTGCCCCATACCATCCCTGGGTGTGTTCTGTCCCACTGGCATAGTCGTATGCAGTCGGGAGGGAGTTTCTCTGGGAGTCCTGAACATTTCTTTTGGATTCCATAAAATCTCATTGCATCAGGTCAGACATGGGCAGGCAAACCTCCAGCTGGTTTCCATGCTGAGCTGATGAATATGTACTCCTCCATGTTGATCAACACTTGGAGGAAGCCCTGATGATGGCAAGGGCTCAGAATGTACTCTGGGTGGGGAATTTCAATTGTCCACCACCAAGAGTGGCTCAGCAGCAACAATACTGACTAGTGGTTGAGCCCTAAAGGACATAGCAGCTATCCTGGACATAGCAGCTAACCTGGGACTACACCAGGTGATGAGAGAATCGGCATAGAGAAAAACATAACTCGCCTCGTGCATCTTCAGAGTTTGGGAATCTGATCGTTAGTATCAGTAAGAGTGACCACTGAATAGTTGTTGCTAGTCCTGTCTTCCCATTCCATGTGGCCCTATGACCATGCTTAATGGGAACAGACTTTGAACTGATCATGCATCTGAAGACTGAGCACCTCTGAGACACTTGGCTATCAGCAGCAGAATTGTACTTCAACACAGTTTGCAATCTCATGGCCCGGCATATCCCCCACTCTACCATTACCATTACCATTACCATCAAGCCAGGGGATCAACCCTGGTTCAGTGAAGTGTATAGAAAGGCATGCCGGGAACAGCACCAGGCATACCTAAATGTGCGATGTCAACTTAGTGAAGCTACCAAACAGGACTCTTTGTGTGCCAAACAGCAGAAGCAGCAAGCACTGGAAAGAGCAAAAGTATTCCACAACCAATGGATCAGATCTAAGCTCTGCAGTCCTGCCACATCCAGTTGT